CTGGATATATCGTGAAATTGGTGCGACGAGGTTGGTCTTATCGTGCGTTATCAACGGGAGTTATAACGCGAGTGTCCGGGATACAACTTAGTTTAAAGCATTCTTTATCTATCGAAATCCACCGTCGCACGACATTCGGACATCGGATATTTATCACAGGCTCGGCGCACGCTCCGCGCGCAGCCAGAACGTCCAGTGGCCCTCGAGTGGTCCCTTACGCGCCGCTTTTTCAACGGAGAAAAAGATAGACACGCATAGACGGAAAGGGAACGGTAAGAGGAAAGAGATGGAGGGGAAAAAGAGGGAGACAGAATGCCGGTAAAAGAAGAAAAAAAGAAAAAAGAAAGAGAAGAAGGAAAGGAACAGGGCATATACCTGTTCCACACGTGAGCATATATATACGCATCGCACACGAACGTACGCGTCCACGCGCGGTCTGCGCGCGCACATCCTCCCCGTACGCGCTCCCCTTAAGCACGAGGCTCAGCAAGCACGCGTGCGCTCTAGTACACGCATGCAGGCACGCATGCACGCACGTACGCGCACGCTTCGTATGTAGCGGATGAAACGAAACGTTCGATGGAGGGGAGAAAGTGGATGGATGGGGGTCGGCGCGCGCCACGACGCAAGGGTGGGGAGAACGGCTCACGTCTTCCACCCCCTGCCCTCTTCGCCACCATCAGTATGCTCAGAACGCTGCTGCCTCCAACTTCCCTGCCTCCATTCGGGCCCACATATCCTGCATGTACCCCCTTTACTCCACTCGCGCGGCCAGTACCTTTTTTCCAACGTAGCTTCTCTTCAGCCGCCACCCCCTCCTCCTATCTCTCCTCTTGCTTCGTCCTCTTCGCTTCTTTCTTCATGATTCCTCTCGTTTCGACTCGGACGCAGTATGTGCACGTATCTCTCTCGGCCAGCTCGTTCGGCCTCTGGACCAGCTTTTCTTTCTCCCGGTATATAACTGTTCAAATTTCGATCCCTGAGACACCGGCCAAGTCGGTGGGGATGGTGGACCCTTCTTGCGTGCGTGCTCTCAGTGTTTCTCACGCACGTATCGAATTTTCGGGCGATCGTTGCGAGCTTCGAGAACACGCACATCAACGAAAGGGATATCTTAATACCGTGCCATGTCGAATTTCGACGGCTAGGAGCTAACGCATTGTTCAAACGTTTGCGATGAATGGTCGAATGTGTCTGGCCAATATGAATTCGTGATTGATGTCATTTCATTTATCACAAAGAAGTACAAATATGTTGGTTAAAACCAATGAGACAGTTCTCTTCCGTTTAATCGGTAAAAGTTTCAATTTACGCAACTAAGTATTACGCGAATGATAACTTGGCGTGTCAACAATATTATTTGCACGTGTATTACGGAAATACATTTTCGAAGCAGCTTAGGTGTATGACTGAAATAGGATGCCGACTGCAACTTCCGAGAAACGAGAGCCGCAAGTTAAGTTATCTGTTCGATAACGACGAAGGGTATCGTCTTTAAATATCCAAATCAGCAAATAGGTTCGAACAAGACACGCAAAAGCACGAGGGCGATTCACGAAGATGAGAATCTCGGGCGTTGTAGGGCCTACGGATCGGCAGTGGTGGGGAAGCGTACAGGGGTATGAGGCGCTGCAAGCCAGTAGGGTGGGAAAGAGGGGGAGAAGATGGGGGTTTAGGGCCCGAGATCGAGTATGAGGCCCAGTGGAGGGGATAGGCGCGTGCCCGCCCTGGCTATATAAGGCCTCGAACCCTTCTTAGTAAAGCATTTCGGAAGACAAGTCCGTACCGTCAGTATCGAGGGTGCGGTGTCATTTTCAACTTTCCCAGCTCACGTAATCGTAATTACGTTTCGTTTCGAGCTCGCGTTTCATTAATCAGGTTTTTCTTCTGCATTCGCTGGATGCGTCGCGCATATTCAACCACGGTGCGGTAGGGGAAGAAGAAGGGGAATCTGGAGTTGAAGAGAAAGAAAGAGAGAGGCAGAGAGGGTTAACCGTCACAGTATTTGGTTTTCGCAAGCCAAGTATTTTCAAGTACCTCGAAGATTCTATTTCTCAAGGTCACCCGGCACGCGCTGCCGCGCACTCCTGCTCTCGCGGTGGGGGGATCGAATCAGTGATATGACCTTAGTGGGATCGAAGGAGGAGAACGTATTGCCCATCATGTTGAGCGTACAGCAACAGCATCATCATCACAATCTTCATGGTTCTTCGACGTCCAGTGCACAAACCCATCGCAGCAATGTGATTGTTTCCACCAGCAGCATGCCGTCAAATGACATCAAGATCCAGCAGCACGGTTGCAAGCGATCGAAGATTTACGGCCAGGCGACCGGCCCTTACGGCACGGTTCCTCACCAGCCGGCTTCGGTCGCCAGACGAAACGCCCGGGAACGAAATCGTGTTAAGCAGGTGAACAATGGATTCGCTACTTTGAGGCAGCACATACCTCAGAGCGTGGCGCAAGCACTCGGAGGAAGTACGGCTGGCACGCACGGCGGATCCAGAGCGGGTAGTAAAAAACTGTCCAAGGTCGAAACGCTTAGGATGGCGGTCGAGTATATCAGAAGTCTGCAGCGTCTTTTGGAGGAGCACGACGGTGGTTCGGATGTCACGAGTGTGTCTTCGCCGACGTCGTCGCCTCCTTCGTCCACCTCCTCCGCCTCGTCCACGTGTAGTTCTAGCAACGGTATCAGCGTCGAGTCCAATCATCATTCGCCCGAGTTGAGACTTCGCGGTAACGTCAACAACGAGCTTCGACATCATAGCGGCTCGGACATACACCGACATCAACACTTGCGACAAAATCCTAGCCCGACTTTCGTCCCGACACCCTGCTCCGAAGCCTCGAGTTCGCCAACGCCGAGTTTCGTTTCCGAGGCGTCATCGGCTGGCAGCCAAGGGTACGGGACATCGGGCAACCTTTATACCGCGCACTCTGATGGCTACGACAATTACGAACCTATGAGTCCGGAAGACGAGGAGCTACTGGACGTCATCTCCTGGTGGCAACAAAGTCAATGAGAAAACCAGTGTCCACATCTCGGTTCCTAGTTGCGTCTATCCTTCACTTCAGAGGTTTGTGTCATAATTTTGTTCTTTCGGTATTGTTTTTTCCCATGTTTTTGGTTGAACTTGCAATCTTACAACGTAGAATATTTGATATACTGAAATTGACTCAACGAAATAATATTTATAATGCTATCAATATTATAATCGTATTAACGTGTGAACCTACATGTTATTATTAACAGTTCTTCGATCGTGATATCCAAACGAAAGATAAAATCGCTCCCCTTTGATGAAACCACAGTCGATTGCTAATTAGTGAACGATCATCGTTACTATCATTCACTGATTTCTTAATGTCTTAGATTTGTCGTTTAATATTTCCTGAAAAAAAAAGAAGAAAAACGAATTGCTAAAAAGAGAAGCGTTGCGTCACATTGGAGATTCTTTTTTTTCTCCTGAAAGTTTCTCACCTCCCTCGCTTCTCAACGACCGTAAATTTTAGCCCGTGAGGTAACATCCGCGTTACCGAGGAAGTTCAAAGAAATTTCCGACCAGATTTGTGACCTTGCCCCGTCACAATGGCGCGCGCGACCCCTCGCTGAAACTCCAGCCATTCAAATCGCAGACTCCATTCAGAGGGGCACTGAGTATACATTCTAGAAGCGACGCTTTTGTGCCCGATTTCTTTCAGTGTGTACTAACACGCGTGTCACCACCCCGTGTATGTGTGTGCCGGTCCTTCTACCGTTTTTTTTTTTTTTTTTTTTTTTTCATCCCTCCTCGCTCTTCAACTTTCAGAGTCGTCGAATTCGCCTCCTCTGAAAATTTTGCCACCTTCTGCGAGAGCTTTACAACGTCCCATTCGGAGACGAACATCCAGTTCCCGCAGTCTTCTTTTCTTTCGACCATTTTTCTCATAATGGCTCATGATCGTTTCCAAACGTTATTCCTGTCCATGTACAATTTCTCTGACGTTCATCGCAGAATACACATCATCCATAAATACTACAAAGGAAACTTCACAAACGATACAATCGGAATTCCATGTTTGCATCTTCGGATTCCAAAGACTCACAGAACGCGTATAATGTCCAAAACAAGACACTTACGATGCAACTGATATCCATTCAGACTTCATTTCTTTAATTTCACACGAATTACATAAAATTGCATAGATATTCGCAGTCATTACAAATTTAATTAATTTAATTAATAGTCAGTCGAATATATATTACCTTGAAAGGCAGACGTTGAACACAGAAAGAAAATCGTCTATCCAAATTCGGCTCTAATCTTGATGGACGTAACTTTTCTTGACGTTCTTCTCCGAGGCTTCTAACGTTTCTTCCTGCGGATTTTTTTTCTTCTCTTGTCTTTCATCTTGCTCTGTTTTCCAGCTCTCCTTTCCTCTCTATCTTTCTATTAACAATCCTCTCTTTCTCTCTCTCTTTCTGACAAGAGACGATTTCGTCTGCTGCGTTTAACCTGAATGCATCTTTCAGGATATTCCAGTCCCCCTTTTGTGGATTTTTGAACCGGTACGCCATTCTTTCGTCCTTCTCTCTTTCTATCAGTCTTTCTCCTCTCTCTTTTCTTGAACGTCTCCTTCGATTTGTTCTTCTTCGCTCCATCCGTGAAGAGAGCGAGTCCCTTCCACTAAAACTGCCCTTACCTGAAATCATCCCCTGCTTCTCTTACTTCTATACCTGTAGTGTCTCCTTACCCGACCTTCCACGGGTCCCGATTTCTTTGGGAATAAATTCATAAGCAGCCGCCGCATGATTCCCGTCGGTATCGATAATTTCGCGAGGTCGAACTCTTAGGATCGGAGTAAGAATAATTCCCTCGTGTCAAAGTCTGGTAAAGACTAGTGGAATCAAAATAGCGAGTAACGAACACGAGAGAAAGGAATAACCGGATGAATAATCTCGAATGAAAAATCAATTTTCAAGAGATGGAAGAAGTTTGACCTTTCGATGAATGATAACTTCAATTTCTTTCCTTCAACGTGGAAAGGTGAATTCAATCTGTTGAATTTTGTGTGAAAAATTTTGGTTTATTTTCTATGTTGCAGAAGTGAACGATGGAGATGTTCTATGTTGCACGTGACGAGGAGGAGAAATGGACAAAAGGAAGCGATAACCGGCTGTTCTATACTGTATAATCTAGTCATTCCTACCGATATTGTACGAATGTAATAATAGGATTCGTTTCTCGTTCGTTGAAATTAGGGGTTAGACTAGAGTTGAGATACTTGCATCTGGCCTTCCACGTACAAAACAGATTGCCGAATAGTAAATATGAAAATTTAGCGAATATATGACAGTAAAGGTGAATGGGAGAATTTCTGTCTCGACAATTACGATCAAAGGATCAAATCAAATGTTCGAACGTATTCAAAGGATGCCATCCTCAAAGGTATTCCACAGTGCCTTATTAGGAATTGTTAATGTTTGATAGAGAAAGCTCAACTGTCACAACGCTTCAGACTTCATTTTTTTAAACGAATGTTATGTCGCGGTATTAAAGAAGGATTCGATATTTAGTACTTGAAGAACTGTTTTTGAATTTTTGAACTGTTAAAAATTTTATAAATGTTACAGATGTTGCAAATATTAATGATACGATGACGAACTTATCAGAGGAATAAAATATTTATATCGAACCGCGCAATTATTTAAACATCTTCAGACAATGAATATTCAGTTCTAATAATTATTGTAATGATATTGTAAATAATGTACATAGCAAGTGAGATTGAAACGGACAAATTGTATCCCAGTGCTCTAAGATTATATCGAAGAATTTTTATCAAGCTCGTGCCTTCTTGTAAATAAAGAATATCTCGTTAAATATATTGAACACCGTTATAGATAATATCGAATACGGATCTCGTTTTATTTTCCTACAATATGTTTCACCATGCTAATAGTAAGTATCATACTAATTGTAATATATTTGTATTTCGAACTATTTCTATAAAAAAGCTTTCCTGTGATTAGTTAAACATTTAATACTAATAATACTGAATTGACAAAAACAACAATAAAATAAAGAATTTAATATATTTAGTATAGTAATAGGGGCTGATTCTTAAATGCATATGCATACTTTGAATGATAAATCTATATAATAAAGTATGTCGAAAAATATCATAGAAGTCTATTCTCTACACTTTAGTTATCGAGTTATAAATTATTGAAGAAAATGTTGAAAT